TTTTATAATTAGAATCAATTGATTTGCTACCCTGTCAACTTATACTATTCACCCTTTTCCTGTATCGTTGGGTCGTTCTAGTAGCTAGCTAACGCAGGCTCCCCAATTAAGCGATCTGGTTTTGGCTGTCAGTGTTCGTTTTGACAAAAAGGGTCATGGACAATTAGTTGTCGAGTCAGATTAAAAGAGTAACTGTTCCGAGTAATTAATTCATTTAGATTCAAATAAATTTTGAACTTGAATTAGTAAAAGAATATTGTTCTGTCATTAGCGTAATCTCAGTAGTCGACTACACCGCGTTAGATATCAGATAAAATCATTAATCTGTCTAACTTTGCGAAAGCGTATTTAGGTACACTTAGAGAATCACACTTAGGTCGTGTTCCTCGCTGCGGTAAACTATCACGCGCTAATATTAATAATTCCGAAAAGAATATTCATTATATAAACTACAAACGTATTAATCAATATAAACTTTGTCATTGCGATAGCGTTCGAAACAAGAATTAAATAATATAGAATATCAAATTCAGTAATTATATAAAAGCGAAGTTAGCTTTATCCGAAATCAGACTTAGGTACGAAATAATATAAAATATTAACTAGCGAGAATCAGATTTAGTTAGATTCATAATTATCTATTATATATTGTTTAATTTACCAAATTCTATTATTTCTATTATCAATATTATATCAAAGTCTATTTAGTTTCTTTTGATCGAACCAATATACTTTTCATATTTTGTTGTTATTTGTTACTTGTTATTTGTTAAATTCATCATCTTCGTTATTTTATTGAATAAACCTTATTGTTGAAAGATATTGATCTGTGGATTTCACTCCTTAACCGCACACCACACGAATCCCACAATCTTTATATTTAGTTATTTTCTAAAACGAGTCGTTCAGTTGGTAAAAGCCGCTCTTTACCTTTCTAGCGCTAGTAACTATCTGAATCTAGATTCCAGAGTCGTTACAATTACTAATATCAGGTTTTACCCCCATTATAATTTCATACGGTGTCTTTTTCTCAATTGTATTAGCTAAAGTTCTATTCTTTAAATATACAGCTGTTTTAATTACCTCTGGCCAATATCTAACATTTATTTTCGCCTCAAATAATAAACAACGCGCAGTGTCCATTACTGATCTATTATATCTTTCCGCAGTCCCGTTTAATTCATGAACATACGGAGGATACGGTTTAATGCAAATTCCTTTTTCTTTGGCAAAAATGTCATGTCTTTATTTAAAAATTCTCTACCGTTATCACATCTTAATTGTTTTACTCGATTCCCAATTAAATTTTCTAATTGATTCACATACGTTACAAAACAATCATAAACTTCATTCTTTTCTCGAATGGGGTATACTTTAGC